CATACCACTGTAGTACTACTTCGGTTTGGTTAAGTAATTATAGTAAATAGTCTAAGACTCTTACTACTGTATGTTACTGAGTATATAATTACTATAGTATAATAAATAAATAAATTAGTGTATATATATATATATATATATATATGTAATGGATAAGATACATATGTGTATAAAAGCATTCAAGATATAACCACATTATTTAAGAAACACTAAATTATTGTTCAAGCTTAGAGGAATATTCAAAGCTGACTTTATTGTAATGGTATATGAACAAGCCTGAAGCTTTCCTGTCTGTCCTAGTTGACCTTAATTTGGCTGTCATCAGTTACATGGTATGAATTACAGATTTATCATCTACACTGGACACAAGGCCCTTAGAGATGGGACCACCACCACAAAATAGGAGCTAATAAAATGAATTATGATGTTAAGAAACTTGCCTTGATTTGACTTGACTAGGGATTGAACCCAGCTATCACATATGTGTTTTGAGACTAAGTTTTTGTTAATCAAGTTAAGAGGACTTGTGTCCCAAGAACACAACTGCTTCATTTTGAACCATCACAACACACTAGAAATAAAAAACTGAACCTGTAATTATTGGAAACTGAGTTTCAATATTGAGGAATGTAGTTATTACAGAAATATGATTAAAGACCTGTTTCTTATGAGAGAGAAGCAATTAATATTAAATATCTTCTGATCACAACAAGTTATCTACATACTAATGGTGGGGTACATAATTTTGTTGAAAAGTAGGAAGGGGGGAATACTTGGCAGTTATATTTTAAACCATGTTTAAGAAGCTCTGACAAGGTGATGGAAAAGAACAATGATTAAACAACAGCTAAAAAAGAAAACTTATGTCAACAGCATTGATATTACCTTGCAGTTGCAAATATCTGATCATTTTACCAATCTAATATAGTTGTTAATAACAGAATATGTACACTAAGTTTAAAAAACGAAGTGGGGGGGGGAGAGGTACATGCCCCTTCTGTCCTATGTGTTAGGCGACTATGACCAATAGTATTGTGAACAAAAGAAATGGACTGAGTTGTAATTGTTGACACAACCATAAAGGCTTCCACAGAGTGTTTAACTGCAGTGAAAAAGCAATTATAATTCTATGTTCAGTTTTTAGGAACTTGGAATTTAAGAGCAAGAAGCTTATTCAGCTTATTGTAATCAAATTTAAGACTAACTTGGAGTAGTGTGTTTAGTCCTCTTACTAGAGAAATAATATCAGTATTCTAGAAAGTGTTCATAGATAAACTACTAGCAATTGAATGAAAGTTAAGCAATGAGTAGAGGCCGAAAGTTTTATACTTACTTTCTCTAATGTGTAGAATATTTAGAGGGCTTTATTGTAGTGAACAAATTATTACATATTGTATTTGGACAATATTTTTCTGAGACCCTGAGGTGGTACACCATGGTCTAATACCATAAAATGTTAGATAATATTAATTAATTATCAATCCCTGGAACCTTGTTAAAAGGCAGTAAAACTAAGAGTTATTTACCCAAAGGATAACTTGCAAATTTATTTTCATTAGCATAAATATATATATGCTGTGGGAATGGGGGTGGAGAGCTTATATATGCTTTTAAAAAAATGCTGAATGGAGATCTTTTGCTTTCAATAGATAGCTTGCAAAAGTACTAATGAACAGCAACTTCAGCTAAAAGTTCTTCAGACTTAAACATATTTTTTTCTATTTCCCAATACCCTACTTATAATAATTAATGTCAATTATCTCTCTAAAAAATTTGGATTTTTTTATGTTTACATTTTCAGAGGATGGTTGGATCAAGAAAAAGCTTATATTTTCTATGTTTATGAAAATTGTGACTGACCCGAAGGAGCTATTGTTAATGCATACAATTTTAATAATTTATTTTCATCATACAAGAAAATATTATAAGGAGAAGATAAAAAACAACATCTATCATAGAGTTGAATGTTACTTCTTACCTGAAATTCATTTAAATTAAAAGTTAGATTTGTATTTAAAGTAACAGCTTATAATTAAGTCTTGCCTTTAAATGTAATAAGTGCATGAAATAACTAAAACAATTCGAAAATTTATTCATGCTACTTTGTTTTTTATTTTATACATATTTATCAAATAAAATAATGAAAAATAAACAAAATATCAACAGAACTTTTATCCACAAATTCTGCATCTTGCAAGGTCATACAACAGCTTGATCATGTTGATGTAGGTTTACTGAATGATGACGCAGCCCATTCTTACCCCTTTACAGAGTTTATCCCTCCCTTTGGCATGCGGCTTGGCTAGTATTTTAGTAAACGTACTAACGATATAGTATTACTAGTTTGAAGTTTGTTTATGATGTTTATTTTGATACAGTTTGAATCATGAAAATATGTAGAGCTTAAATACTACTAACACAAATGTCCAAATACGTATTTTACGTGTGAAAATATATTAAGTCAAGATAAATTTCAATTATCGTACAAAGTTCTAAAAAATATCACATTCCAACCTTTTGTGATTAGGCCAAGAGGCCCTCAGCATTCCACACAGAGGGAGCCACTGTGCTTACCTGTCTCTTGGGTCTATCCACGTAGTTTTACGGTTGATGTGGTCAATAAAATAAATTTTTCCATCAACATCTCTTCCAATATCCCATCCATCGGGTAAAGGAATATCATCATTACGTCCAATAGGCATATTTCAGGCAGAATCCAATGAAAGTCTTGCGAGGTTTTACCCATCACTACACAGCTTGTCACTAATATTCTCCATCTTGGCTAACTTATAATCACTGGAATTGTATTAGCGTGACGTCACCAAAAAACTATCTGAGTTCGTGTATCAAGGCGCCAACTGAGGCCTTGGATTGACCAATCAACAGTAAGTGCCGCGGGGTGAACTACGACCAATCAAAACCGGATGAACAAGAGAATGGAATGTGGATGTTTTCCCCACCTTGGCTTGTCCTGTTTGCCACAAGGGAATATCCAACTTGCCCTTCACGGGAAAAATGAAAGGATGATGCATTCAGCATTAGCCCTCTCTCTCTTTTCTTGTATACGTGTTTATTACAACGTCAAAATTATGTATATCAATATTGTTTTTACATAAAACTATAATGAGTTTTAAGTAATATATATAATGATGAATTAATTACAATAATAAAAAGAAATGGTTTGGGCATGAACTAAGCAAGAGTACCCGGACTGTGAATACGAGAGATTATGGTTTGCGTCCCGTAGCCACAAAACGCGCTCCGCACTTTGGATCGTGGGTGCACTATAAAAGTGATGACCAAATCCTACTCTCTGGCCAGATAAGTATAGCCCAATAGTTGGCAGTGGGTTCTGTTAACTAGCCGACTTCAATCCAGTCTACCAGTTCAAAATTAGGGACAGCTATGTACAGATAGCCTTTGTATAGCTTAGCATGAAAATCCTGAATAAAACAAACAAGAAGAAAGAAATATGATCAGATGAAAACATTCGTGGCATATATACAAAGGGTTGATATATGTAGTAAGCTTTCGTCGACGAAACAAGCCAGAACAGCAGGAAATTACAGTAACCTGAATACTTCACTGTTGTATAATTTTAGAGAAAACTAACATTATCAATATAATTTTTTATAATTATTTTAAGCGTACATTTTCCATTTGTAATGAAATAAATTTAGCCAAGTTTATTTTAATTGCAATCTTATATATTGACCAACATGAATGTGTCTCGGACCTAGAAGTATCCGCGGCAATATTAAATAGAGCGTCTGCTAAACAGCTTAATACAATACAAAAATTTGCGGCTTACGATTCTTTCTTTATTTTTATTCTTCATAAACTAGTCAATATCTTCAAAAAGAACCATCGTAGCTATCTGTCATTGATTACAGATACACCAATCAATGCGAAAAATCTGGATGTACTCATAAATAATATAAAAAGTAACACATTCATTTTCTATTCGGAATCTTAAATGGATTGAACAGCTCTATGAAATGTTTAAATTAGCCAGATATTCATTACAATTCAATATTTTTAGCCTAAGTAATCTATAAATAGTATATGTTTCAGATTTTTTATTTCTTTGCCACACCCCCGAGACTCAGCTGTAAGTCTATGAGCTTATAATGCTAAAAAATCAGGTTTCGATACCCGCGGTGGGCAAAGCACAGATAGCTATTGGGTATCTTTGTACTTAATAAGAACAACTACAAAAAAAAAAAAGGTAGGGTGAATGGTAAGTTTACGGACTTATAGCACCAATATCGGGGTTTGATTCTCCGCGGTAGACAAAACGCTGATAGTCCAGTGTATAATTTTTCGCTAAAACAAAGCATATAAATAAATAACTGCAAATTTTATCTCAATTGATCAAAAGCTTGAGTATATTTTGTAATATCGTACCCAATTGACAATAAGTTTATTTTAATCGTATTGTATCAAACTGCTTACCTTAGGGTTTGTTTGGAATTAAGCACAATGCTACACAATGGGCTATCTGTGCTCTGCCCACCACGGGTATCGAAATTCGGTTTCTAGCGTTGTAAGTCTACAGACATACGGCTGTGCCACTGGGGGACTTACCTTAGGGTTTGAATTTTTTCTTTATAATTTTCATTGAAATCAAACACTGGTTTTACATAATCTTTGCAGCTTGCTTAGATCATCCACTAATTAAGCCATACACTAAATTGCTAGAGTGATATGTTACGCATGTTAAAATAGTTATCTAATAACGATCTGAAAAGGAAAAAAACAACAAAAAAACGTTGAACAGCAAGACTGGGATTTGGAAGCCACAGAATATAACTTAATTCTAACGCATAAAAAGAAAATAGACAAGTTCGTACACGTTTCAGACACCCTCAGAATTTTCCCTTTTTTGATAATATAGCTTGTTTGTTTTTTCAGTAGTTTTAGGGTAAAATACTTTTCGGGTTACTCAAGGTTTTTTAAGAGTTTGGCTATTTTGATTCATTCGTACTCGAGGAGCATCATGATATTATCTATTAAGTCGTCAAAAAATTAAATGTCGCTTCTTCTTAGATGGAAAAACCTGAACAGCTTATATATCAAAACAAAATATTTATTAAAAGAAATAGTTTCCATTCTTATCGATGATTCTTTTCCATCTTACAATCAGGTTGTTAATGCTCTGATTAAAGAAATC